TGCTGAAACTTCAGGGTTTTTTTTAGATAAGTGGAATCATATTTGTGTTTTCTAATTCAGAGGATGAAATCTGAGCAGGAAACTCTTTCAAATGATTTGTAAGAAGAAACATGACCCAGTACAAAAAACTATTTTAAAAGTGTAATAAGTTGATGCCACATTCACAAATTGGTAGATGTTTCACTAGTAAAATCTCTAAATCAGAGTGACTTTGTTTCCAACAGGGCATGGGGCAGATGTGAAGTGTGTTGACTGGCATCCAACAAAGGGGTTGGTTGTATCAGGAAGTAAAGACAGCCAACAGCCAATCAAGTTTTGGGATCCAAAGACTGGGCAGAGCCTTGCCACACTGTAAGTTATGATCTGAATTGTGCCCATATCAAAAAAGGCAAAAGCTGCATGGAATTTTGATTTATTTTATTTTGTTATTAGCTTGGTCCTTATTGAGGGCTGCATCCTGTTCAACCATGGATAAATAGAGGCAAGCTTTCTGGCTGGGTCAGAAACTCCAGAGACAAGGCAGAGATTGAGTTGAGAATTTTATGAAATGTTTGTTTATCCTTCCTTGGATCACAAGCCTTATGTCCCCACATTTCTCATTCAGAGAGCTGAAGTGAGTGACTTTGCATAGTTAATGTTATACCTGGCCAATCAGTAGGAATTACTACCAGAGAGTAATAAGAAATATAGCTGCACAGTAGTTAAATGCACTGGCTCAGTATTTGCCTCCAGCTCTTGTTAATGCTGCAAACAGAATGTCAAACTTTTTATCAGATTGTCATCTTTACTCTGCTAGTCTGTCTCAGGCCCTTAACTCTGGATCTGGTTGTTTTTGAGAGAGAGATTATGATGTGGGGTCTGATTTCTAGTCCATTCATCTTTATCTACCTGTACTTCCAGACATGCTCATAAAAACACAGTGATGGAGGTAAAGTTGAACCTTAATGGCAATTGGCTGCTCACAGCTTCTCGTGACCACCTCTGCAAACTCTTTGACATTCGAAACCTGAAAGAAGAGCTCCAGGTCTTCAGGGGTCATAAGAAAGAGGCCACAGGTCAGAAGTCATTGTAATGCACTATAAATTGCATAAATAAATACAAAAAAAAATAGAGACTTTTGTTCTCAGTTAATTGAATTAAGGTGAAAAGAATACTTGTTTAAGGCTGTTTAACACTTACTGGAGTTTCTAGCATTATATTTTCTGATTGTGATTTTTTTTTTGTATTTCAGCTGTAGCCTGGCATCCTGTTCATGAAGGACTTTTTGCAAGTGGAGGATCTGATGGCTCTTTGTTGTTCTGGCATGTTGGGTAGGTGGCATTTTCACTACCATGATGGAGAGATGCAGTTCAGATGCTTCTAGATATATCCTGTTAATTGGCAATGTTACTGTGTGCATATTGTAAAATACACCATATCTCTCTCTGAGGCTAGGGACAGACATTACACATAAACCAGTTTAAGTGATCAGAAACTGGTTTAAACCTGTAACAGAACAGATGTTCAGTGCACGTAAACCAGTTTGAAAATGACTGAAACCAGTTTGAGATCAACCTGGTTGAATGTAGTATCAGACTTAACTGATTTGGATCAAACTAGTGTATGCAATATCTGTCCCAGACCCCTTCCTGGTATAACTTAAACCAGAGTCCTCAGCATCCCAGATGCTTTGTAGCCCTGGGTGGGGCCGGGCTGTCTGCTCCAGAGCAGGGCTGGAACTCTGGCAAAGACTGCAGCCACAGCAGGATCTGCCTGGCTTTCTCCTGCCCCTCCACCTCCCTGCTCAAGCAGGAATTCCCCCTTCCCCTCTCCCACAGCACAGACCATAGCCAGCATGTAGTATGCTAGCTAATGCTGAGAGGTGTCTGTATAAAGCAGACAGGACAAAGGCAAACTGGACAGTGTCTGCTTTGGAGCTAATCAACAGCTCAGCTGGTAATGTCCCTCCGTTCCTTCCTTGGGAAAAGGTTGTTTAAGAAGAGCTTGAACTAATGAGAGAGGCTTTTGTTTTCTTGATGGGCTGATAAATGCTCTGTTATCAACTCCCTGCTGGCTACCTTGCAGGTCAGCAAGGAGGGGGGACCCCTCCCTAAGAGTCCTGCCAGGCCTGGCCACACCCCCCACCCTCTTAGCATTGTGGAAGGGAAGGGCGGGCTGCTCTAGCACTCCTTCAGTTTCTAGCCTGAGCCACTGCAGGCATGTTTCCTGCATTTCTTCAGTCCAGAGGGGATGTCTGGACGGTTACAAACTGGTTCAGCCTAGCCAGGTTAGACTAACCTGCAAAGATTGAATCAGTTCAGGCTCAGGCTTTTTGAATGTCTGTCCCTAGCTTGAGTGCTTGAGCTCAGTGGTTTGGGTATACTCTGGTAATTTTTTCAGAGATGCATTTTGCCATGGTCAGATAAACAGTCCTTATAAAAAGAATTTCCATTTCACTTTTATAAAGGTGAAGATAAAAAGGATGAAGTTTATAGCCTATATTGGAGCATCTTCTAGGGATGCTATAAATGTTCTTTTAAAAAAAATCTTCGCTGTTTCTTTCCTGGGAGTCTCAGAAAGAAGAGCCACACATGAAAATTAACTGATAAATAAAATGAGCATCTTGTAGAAAACTACAAGCAACTAAACAACAACAAAAATCCTCCCTTACATTGTATTTGGCAAAGTTTTATATGATAACTGATTTTTGGTGCTCTAGGGTTGAGAAGGAAGTTGGTGGAATGGAAATGGCCCATGAGGGAATGATCTGGAGTCTGGCTTGGCATCCTCTTGGACATATACTCTGCTCAGGCTCGAATGATCACACCAGGTATTTTCAAGTGCTTAAAGATTTCAGGGAATTCTAATACATGTTCTTTCCCAATTCCTAACTGTGAGAGAGAAAAGATCAATAAATCCAAATTGTTCCTGCTATAGAACCAGTTGGCAAACCAAAGTTGTGTGGTGATTAAGGTGTTTTATGGGAAAAGATCTTACCTTTCACAGTTGACAGTAGAATTAGGGCACATCTATACCATCAAGGGACTGAGTTAGGGTGTATCACAGTGAAGCATGGCACATCTGCTCTGTTTAGTCTCCTTCCTAAAAATAATGTACCTTAGTGGGATACTTAACACAGACATATAAGTGTACCCAAGACAGCCAGCTTACGTTACTTGTGTTTTAGGATGTAGCTCATGACAGGCTGGCCTGCTGTTTCATTGCAGCAGTCCCCATCTCAGTCCTTTGATAGTGTAGACGCGCCCTGAAAGTCCACTCTCCAAGTCCTTTTGGAGGATATGTCAAAAAAAAGAAAAAAAAAAGGAGCTAACATGTCTTTGTAGTCATTATACAATGTCCCTATGGAGCTTTTGAAGGGGTTTTCTTTAGTCTTTGACAAAAATGCTGAAGCAGAGAGGTCTTGTAAGCAGGAAATAAGTTAATCTTTTTTGGATGAAAACATGGGGTTCAGGAAATAATAGTCATATTTTATAAATGGCATGCATTTCTGTGCATAGAAGTTCATATTTCCAAGAATGATGTCCCATCAGTGTCTGTGAAGGGTAAATTTGAATGGGCTTATTGGAGAGGATGGGTGTATGGTAGTCTTAGTTTCATCCTATCAGTGGAGCAAGTCTGGCAGTTCTCATAGCTGTTCTCTATGAAGTGTCTGATTCTTAATCACTAGCTCAATGTGAGATGAGTCCTACTGTGTAATCATCACATACCTGGTATTTAAGTCCATTTTGAAGCCTGATGAGGAAGGCCTTTGAATACCTAAATAACAGGGCTCTGTGAATCTTTGGTCCCTGATTCGATTCAGCAGAGATTTGGCCTAATTTGGTGGCTGAATCTTTGAATCTGAATCAAATCAGAGAACCCTTTAATCACTCTGAATCGATTCAGAGAGATTCAGAAAGATTCGGAGATTTGGACATAGACACAGCTTTAAATGTTTTTTCTACATACCTCTAGGTAGTAGGGGCTCGTGAATGCTGTGATGCTGGGGTGGAAGGAGTGTCCCTCAGGAGTGTGGAGGGCTCCACAAAGCGCTTGGCAGCAGACTCCGAAGTGGACCAGAAGTATTTCTGGTCCACTTCCGGGTCTGCCAGGGAGCATGCTGGAGGGCCTCCCCCCACTCCTGTGGGACACTACTTCCACCCCAGCATCACAGCACTCACAAGCTGCACTGGTACCTCGAGATACGTAGAAAAAAAATTTGAAGTTGTGTCTATGTCCAAATCAGCATCGAATCTTCAGATTTGGATTCAGACGAATCGAATCAGGGACAGTGATCCGCATCAACGAATTGAATCACTGTCCCTGATTTAGGCCGAATTAGGCCAAATCGAATAGTGCCTGCTTTGCACACCCCTACTAAATAGTCAAGGTATTGTAATAGAATGCAAAAGTAAGGAGAAAGGGAGATCCTGCTGACAAGCAATAGTTATCCCCTTATCTTTTCAGTCATTTCATATCACACTTCTTTTCATTTCATTTTGACAGCAAGTTCTGGACTAGGAATCGGCCTGGAGATAAAATGCGTGATCGCTACAACCTGAACCTACTGCCCGGAATGTCAGAGGATGGAGTGGAATATGGTAAGGGTATTGCCATGAATACAGAAGAATAGAGGGTTGGTTTCAAAAATAAGCCTAGAACATATAGGTTTAGTTAGATTTCAGCTCCTGGGCAGCATGATAAAATAATATAGGATTGGTTTGGTGATTGGTTAGATAGTATTTTTTTTTTTACTGGGATGATCTCATTCTCTATGATCCAGGGTCACCATTCCAACAATGAGTTTTCTTTTGTTCTGCAGCTCCAGGAGGTAGGACCAGCTCTGTCAATCACAGGAAGGAGGTTTGGCTCTCCCTCTGGGAAAATCCCCAGTTTGTTCTGCCTCCTGAAAACTTCAACATGTGACTTCAAGACCTCCCACAGTCCTGAGCTACAGAGCACAGGAAAACCTTTGAAATTATTGAACTTGCCTCAGAAGTCCTTTATCTTAAGCTTTTTCCCCTTCTAATTATTTTTCTTAGCAATGTCAGACCTTTAAGGGTTGCCCCACTCCACAGCATGCAGCAGCTCCCCTTCTGCTTCAGAGTGGTGTCCCTTTCTGTTATTCAGATCATTGATTACATGCTCTTTATGCTCCATAATGTTCTTAGAATAGCATTTCCCCTGAATTATTTTTTCTGTACTTATTATAGTACAAAGCATTGGGGAAAAATGTTTACTTTCCCTGGTGTCTATCTCAGAAATAGTTTTGCTGAAGTGACATGTTTTCTGGTGTTTTGGTGGTTTTACAATTTTTTAGCCTTTATTATAATATCTTGCAGTTCATGAGTGGGATAAATTATGACCCAGCAGAATGTGAAATGTGTAAGCAAATTAGCTGGATAAAAAATGTGGGGAAACCAGAAAATAATAAGGCAACTTCCAGGAAAACCATTTCCAATGTAAAACTTAGATGATATCCATTTGTGTTCCATCTCTAGATGACCTTGAGCCCAATAGCCTTGCAGTAATCCCCGGGATGGGAATACCTGAGCAACTGAAGCTGGCCATGGAACAAGAGCAGCTGGGTAAGTAGTGGAAATAATGCATAAGGCAGGGGCAGGCAAGTATTTTGGGCGGAGGGCCGCTTACTGAGTTTCGGCAAGCCATTGAGGGCCGCATGGGTGGCCCCCCCCCTTGACTGGTGCCCCACCCCCTGATCACCATCTTGGGACCAGAAGTCCTGCCCCCTAACCTTTGCCACCAGAAGTCCTTCTCCTTGCCCCCCAGAATTACTCCTTTCAGCAAGGGGTTTTGCCATCTCTGAACCAGAAAAATACCAAATTATATTCTAAAAATCAAACGTACTACAACATTAATATTTTTGTCCTGATTTACATGCATTTGTAGTGTACAGAGGTGATAGTATAATAACTTAAAATGAAGTCTTACTCTTGTATACTGTGAGAGGGTATGGGTGGGAGGGTGGGTATGGGTTTGTGGGGTGAGGGGGAAGGTGTGTGTGTGTGTGTGTGTGTGTGTGTGTGTGTGTGTGGGATTTGTTGGGTGGATAGGTATGGGGGGTATGGGTGGGTATGGGTTTTGTGGTGGACTGTGAATGTGTGAGGGGAAAGTGGCTGGGGAGGGTTGTGGCTTGCATGGAGGGGGAAGGTTTGCCCACAGCCTGCTCCCTCCCCTTCTCCCGTGGCAGGCAGAGCTCCCACCAGCACTCCTGCAAGCCCAGTCTCTGCACTCCTTTGACTCCCGGCCCCAGGGCACTGGTGCAGGACTTGTGCTCCTGCTCGCTGTCACTTGCCCTCATCTGCCACTGCTGCCCTTCTCCTGCTGCTTCCCCATTCCCTTTCCCCCCTGCTGAGCACTCTGGCACCATGTCCCAGCTGCTCCTGCGGTCCCAGTACTGCAGCTGGGAACCACATGATGCTGGAGCGCGGCCGGTGGGGGGGAGTGGGGAAATGGCTGCAGCAGATGAGGGGAAGGGGTAGCAAGCGGGCACGGGGAGTGCAGCGACAGCTGGGCGGGAGTTCAGGGGCAGCAGGAGTGTGGGGTCTGGACTGCCAGGGGCTCTGTTGAACCCGGCCAGCTCCCTCTCCCTATTTGAGCAGTGCAGCCTGGACCCTGTGCTCCTGCCAACCTGCTCTGGGCCCTGCCAGTGCTGGCCCTGGTGCACTGGTTTGGGTCCCATGCTCCCGCCTGGCTGTTGCTGCACTCCACGTGCTTGCCTGCTGCCCCTTTCACCCACCTGCCGCAGCAATTTTCTGTCGTGTTCATCTTAATAAACTGCACTGGCTGGCTCTTTGCTCATGCCTTTGATCTTTCTGTGGCATGGATGTTATGTGGGGAGATGGAATGAAATAAGCAGATATGTTGCATGGAATTTTTCTGAAAGTCCACGTGGAGAGATTTTCCTTCTTTGATTATATAGGAATTAAGCAAACTTAGGGGTATGAGGAAATCTTGTTAAGTTGTGTTGATAATACTTCTCCTTCTCATATTAAAGGGAAAGATGAATCAAATGAAATTGAGATGACCATCCCAGGGCTGGATTGGGGAATGGAGGAGGTGATGCAGAAGGACCAAAAGAAAGTGCCACAGAAAAAAGTGCCGTATGCAAAACCAATTCCAGCACAGTTTCAACAGGCAAGTGCATAGTGGAATAACCAGGTTAAACTGATTTTAGCTCAACATTCTGAACTCTAGGTGTCCAACTTCTACAGCACTATCCAGTGGAGAATAATGTATTAAATCAGTGCCACATGACGAATATTTGTGATTCAAGTAGGAGTGCACCAATAGAGATTTTGGGGGCTGATACCGATAGCTGATTTTTAAGGAAGCATATCAGCCAATACCGATCCGATTTCTGATGCAGCTGTGTGCAGCTGGTAAGTCTGTTGTGGTGGAACAGGAGGGGGGAGAGAAGGGGCGTGGGGGATCAGTTTCACCGTAGCCCTGCTCCCAGTGCCACCACGTGCCCGCATAGCCCCAGCTCAACACCCTACCTCCACCCACATGCCGGGAAGAGCTGGGGCTGTGCCGGGCACGTGCTGGCAGCCCTGGGAGCAGGGCTGTGGCGAAATTTGGGGTGGCTGCAGCCCCCTCCATAGCCCCCTTCCTGAACCCATCCCCTGCTGAGAAGAGTCTGGTGCAGCCCCAGCTCCAGCCCACATCTGCAGCCTGCCTGCCCTGTCCCATGCAGATCTGCTTTCC